TAAACCTCCCCAGCCTGTCATCTTGAATCACTGTTCTCTGTTCCTGATCAGACCTCTCTGTCTCTCTCTTTCCATACGTGTGTCTGTGTGAAATGGTGTTTATGTGTGTATTTTTGTCTTTGTGTATCGCTGTGTGTATGTTTGTATGTCCCTGTGTCCGTTTCCCACGTGGGTGCCAGGCCTGGATCCAGAGAAGCACTTAGGAAAACCTCTGGCTGACATGGAGCCCTATCTGAAACAGGTCACAACCTGGTTTACTCTCTACACTATTTCCATGTGTACAACATTTGCTCACAAGTCAGGTTTCCTGATGATCATGTTCAAAGTATTAAAACATCTTGAAGTGCATAATCTGTCAAAGTCAATGCTTATTACTGCAGAGAAATACATTTTTCTTTCACTTTAACATTTAATTTTATATATTAAGTATATGTTATTGTACACCATATTAATTATTTTAATATGGTGTTTTGTTTTCCCTGATTAGCTCTCCCAGATGTATGGAGTTCATATTTGTGGAGAAGGAGGTGAATATGAAACCTTCACCCTTGATTGCCCGCTCTTCCAAAGGAAGATAGTTATGTGAGTAAAGCAACATAAACTTACAAGAATTTGTCTGCATCAGAACTCAATTACACTTTTTCATGCATGTGGCTGTTGTAAGTTCAGAAAAGTGATGGTTTTTTTGCCAGCACCACTTTATATGAAAGTTTTTATTTGTATGTGTGTGTGCATGCAGTGATGCGGCAGAGACAGTGATCCACTCAGCAGATGCCTTCGCTCCAGTTGGCTACCTGCGCTTCACCGAGATGCACACCGAGAGCAAAGACAAGGTGAATCAAACTTCTGAAGGAATCCATGAGTGTAGTTTTGCAAGTAAGATCAATGCTCTTCAATGCTGAGTCAATGATTTTACAACAAAAGTTGGAGTCACTTCGTGGTTGATTACTTTAAAACCACTCTGAGGGCAAAACAAATACAAGAACAAAACCTCTTGGTGTCTGATAACTTTGTCGAGCAGAAGAGAAACACAGCACTGTAGGGCAGGATTCAGATCAAACCTCCATAGGGCCTCTCTCACTCTGTCTCTCTCTCTCGCACACTCTTGCTCTCGGTCTCTCTTCATCCCTCGCTCTCTCTCCTCTAGCCCCACATGGCCTACTTTGACATCTGCAATATTCACTGCAGCCTGAAACTAGGCTCAGCTTAATAAACATGTCTGCTCACATTAAGGCGCTTTGCATTCAGGTAGCTGGCTAAGCGGGCACAGGCGGGGGTTGCGGGGAGGCAGTAGGAATTGGCTTTTGGTATATTAGAAGGAGCTGATTGGGGCTTCACAGACAAGAAGGGTGACACTTCAGAATGCTTTACTTTCCCTGCAAGAACAGACGACTTTATAATCCTTAAATTGGAATTCAGTGATAAAGACATTGGGCTAATTTATGTGTACTTTTAATTACTCTGATTAAAATTGTCTGGTTTAATAAAACACCTACTAGCCAATGAGTGTTACTGGCAACAGGAGGTGCTACTTGTGTGCCATTATGTTTGTTGCAGCGAGTTAAGACTGTAAGGATTACACTGAGGGATGCTACTCGCATCTAGCTTAACATGTTTCCAGGGTAAAGCATGTGATTTGCGCGTGTATTTTTTTGCATAATAATGTGTACGTTTGATTCCTTTGTATGCAAGAGAATGCGTGTTCTGTTTGTAGCCTTGTGTGTTTGGGTGGGGGCTGAGACTGTTACGGACAGAAAACATACCCCCATCCCACAACCTCCGTGACCCTGCAGCCTCACTCCCTACAGCTATATATTTTTTCACTCCCCACACTGCCGCTACCACCCCCATCACACAAACACACACAGACGCTCACACGCTCCCGCAGACCCTGTAGCCCCCCCTAGGTTTCTGGGGGAAGAGCAGGGAGATCCAGGGCCTACGAGGGGAGGGTAGATGGGGGGGGGGCAACCAGGGGAGAACCTGCCCTGGTTCAGCCTTCTGAAGCTCTTCTCGTCAGGGTGACAGATCTGCGGTGACACCAGCACTAGAGGAAACTGCACCGGGCTCAGGGGGTGGGGATGGACCACCATCATTTGCCCTCCGTTAATGCTAGTCAAGCTATTTTTCATGCTGGCCAGGAGAGAGGGGCTGAAGTATAATTAATTTGATTATCATATGGCCTAATGCAGTTGACAGCAGATGGGGGGTGAATCAGTGTTGGGAGGGCGAGGGGGGGCGTTGAGGAGATATGAAATATGTATTTAAATGTGTGACACCGAATTTGGCAGGTAATATGTGTGCCTCAGAGAATGGTAATGATTTGTTATTTAAAGAAGTAGCAGAGTGTTGAGGCAAAGTATAAGTAAACAGAAGAAAAAAACTGAAATCCAAAACATGTCTAACCCATCCAGTCATGAGTTTTGACTGACAGCCAGCATGATTGAATCTACAGTATCAGAAAACACCGCTCACTATTCGCCCGAACTAGGAATATGTTAGCATGTTGTTTCATATTCATTCACCTTGAAGTTATGTGTGTCTGGGCCCTTGTCATGAAAGACTGACAAACACAACCCGCTTGGTGGGGTATCTGAAAAAGACTGGTTAATTATACAGCATTTTGTCTATCTTTGCAAAAGGCTCAGTGCTCTTTGGTGGGCGTTTGGCCTGATGTATTCCCTGTGGTGCTTTATTTGCAGGATGTGGTGGCAAGAGCTTTGCCCCATGGTAGTTGTCCTTGCCAGAACGCCATTGACAAGATGACTGAGGAGGTGGAATATGCTGATCAAGCTGAAGACAACCAGCAAGAATTTACATCAAATTGTGACCTTAGTTGTCAGCGGGGCCACGGTGAGATTCATTTATGGCGAAACATGCACGTGCTGACATGCATGCTTGAATGTGTATTTGTGTGTGTGTGTGTGTGTGTGTGTGTGTGTGTGTGTGTGTGTAAGATGATATCTGTGTGTCATGTGTGCTCCCTGAATCTGTGTCATGTGGTCAGCATCATGATGCTAAATGCTAGTATTTTTGAGTGATTGTTTGACAAGAGCTGTCATTTCAGCAGTGTATTTGTGACAGTCTCCTTTGACATACAAACCACATATGCATGAATTACCTTCTTATACAGCACATGCCCTGCTTAAAAAATAAATAAATGACATACTTCTTTTGTATGTTCTAAAAGTCTTGATCAAGCCAACCATTTGTAGTGCTGACTGCACAAAGTATTTACGGAAATCCAAACCTGCTAACTCGCTTCCTGTTCATATTATTGTATCTCTTCCTGCAGGTCTCCCTCCATCCTGCTCACCAAGAAGTTCCAGAGGCTATCAGTGGATTTGTTGCATTAACGGCCTTCAGAGCCAAGAACCCGGGATCCAGGGCCAGACATGGGCAGCTTTCACACAGCTGCAAAGTAAGGGAAAGTGTGAGGAAGAGAGAGTATTGATAGAGAGAGAACACTTTTTAAGAACATATAATACCAGAGCTATGGACATGCTTTTAAATATTTTTTACAAAAATGCAAGAGGCTACTAGAAAATTTTTTTTTGCCTCTCTGAAATCGCTGAAGCAAAAGGCACACAGAACGACACTCACAAGTAAACTAACCTTTAATAACTCATGTTTTCTTCGATCACATAAAAATTACATCTTTGATATGATAAAGGGGAGATGATACAGAATTCCTTTGTCCAGGGGTGATTTTAGCAGCTCACTAACACAGATTCTGCAGGGCTTACTGTACTTCACTCCCTACTGTAGCCCTAAAAATTCAATGGAGAGAAACATATGGGGAAAACTCCTTTTCCTTGCTGTGTTAGCTAAAGACACATGAGGAGGTGTGGCAGAGCTTGAGAAGTCGTTCCTTATTCAAAAGTGCTTGTCAGTCCAGCAGGCAAAACCCCTGTGTGTCAGCGACTCGATCCGTCACAAGAATGGAATAGCGAGTTAGCCACCAAACAAGGACAAGCACTTCAAATTAACCCAAACCAAGCCTCTTTTAAAACACACACACACACACACACACGGTGCAGTCATGTTGGGTGGGTTATCGTTTTTGCCCTGCAGAAGTTTAAAAGTGCACGCTTTTCCAGTGTATCTGAATCTTTTTTTCTTCTTCTCTTTCTCTTTTTTGATGGAGAAAGAGGAGCGAAAGATGAAAAGCATATTTAATGTTTATCGTGGTGTTCGGCTGAACAGCCTTCACAGTGCAGAGACAATATTAAACAAGTTAATATTTAATGAACAACCTCTTTGTATGAGGGCGTAGTAGTCTGAGACGCTAGTGTTGGCAAAGGAAAAACAAACTTGAAGCTCTTTCAAATGATTGTAGGGAGAAAGACTTTGCTTTGAGCCCGTGTGCTGGCGCTTGCATCCAAAGCTTACAATTTGCACACATACTATGTTAGACTGCACTTTATGGAAGGGGACAAACACCATTACCACTTTAAAGCAGTTTCAATAGATTTCCGTGTCAGAAAAAAAAACTTGTACAATGGTGATAGCGTTCAAATGACCGTTTGAACAGTAATGGTAGGTATAGCACAGCTGTACACCTGAGACTTTGACACAAGTAAATGCCTGTACACTGTGACTTAGACTCCATGAGTATTTATTCACTGGCAACCTTGCCTGATGCAGTGGTAGTAGATACAACTGGTAATTTTCTTACAACAATGTGTAAAATAATAAAATAAAAATGAAATAACAAGTTTATAGAGGTAAACCAAAAACATGTGTGTTAAAGAACTGGTTAGATGAAGTTGGTGACCAGCTACAAACAAGGATGTGCTGAAGCCAAATGCAGCACTTCTTTTTAGTCACAGACCTACCATTTTGCCTGTGTAAACACTGCAAACTGCTCTTCTCCCAGTTTTGTAATATGTGGTACACAACATTTACAAAATATGGACAAGTTGGCTTAGCCAAGATGGAGTACAGTTATGGTATGTTAGGTTACTATAATTTGCTATACTCCAGTGATTTACAGTATAATGTGTTACCTATGTCCAGGTGAGTTGGACACCAGATGCTGGAAGATGAAGGACATTATCCTGCTTCACCTGTATGTGAGCTGCATGGAAGACTTTGTTCCACTCAACACGGTCTATAAGAAACACTTTGGCAAAAACCCTCCAGCCAGGTAAAGATGCAAATACTCATACAGACCTTTCCCGCTGTTTCTTCTCTCTCAGGGAACATCTTTACATGGTTCTCACTCTAAAGCATTTGCTTCTCTGCAGCACTTTTATTACTCCACTCTATTCCTTGTAGGGTCTGTGTCCAGGCTCCTCTACCTGCTGGTCAGCTGCTGCAGATGGACTGCCTGCTCCATGACTGGAAAGAGCCCCTAGAGGAAGGCTGCTTCCACCAGAGGGAAGCCCTGCATGTCCAGAGCCTTTCCCACTGGGCCCCAGCCAACATCGGGCCCTACAGCCAGGCAATCAGGGTAAGTCCCCAAGGTCCACAACATGGAGAAGGTGTTGTTGCTGGTGGTGGCTAATAGTGTTGACAGTTTAATTTGGTGGTGGCCACATAGTAAGTATATTGTTCTATTAATAGACTAATAACATTTTCAGCTATCAATTTCAGCATTACTGTCAAAGGATACACTTTGCAGGCAACCCTGTTGTTTAAATTTGCGTCATTATTTTTGTTTATTTATTGTTTTCTGTTCATCTTCTTCTGTTCATTTAACCCCTGCTCTTCACATAACTTGTTTGGCTACTGATTGGAAATGATATTGAATCCCTTGATCCTTGTCAGAGGGGCTAAGCCAATAACAAGCAACATTATTTTCTTTTGTGTCACTGTTAGCAATGCAAAGTATCATTTTAAGAAGGTACTGTAAGTAAGGTATTAATGGAGGAGTGCCAAGGATTAATTTGATGAATGATGAATCTTGCTGGTGATTCTTATGATTCTTTGTTGTGCTTGATTCTTACAAAGCAACTCAAGTGTCTCAGATTACGTGCTGTACTTTGAGTGTCTGAGTCTCTGTTTGTGTATAGATGCATTTGCGTAGGTGCATGTGATTGTTGATTTGTGTGATAGTTTGTTCCCATTACTACTTTTATGTATACATGTAAATATGTATCCCTATTATAGTGGGCAGTGTGTATCCATTTTTGCACTTGTTTGTAAAGCTGCGATTTGAACTTCTTTCATATTGTTTGAAACCCAGAAAGAATGTCGAATTCAAAGGCAGAGCAGAGGAAGTGTGGGCAGTGGTTGCACGGTTGGCTTGGTGTTTTGTTTATCCACTGTGTATTATATGGGATTACACTTGTCAAGGTACTGTCAACAAGGATAGTGTCCATCTCCTCCACACTGTCCTTGATCCTGCAGCCAAATCCATCTGTGAGTGAGAACATGTGTGGATTAGCCATTCGTTTAGAGCTTGACGGCATATCTCACCAGTGTGTCACTGAGGCTCAGATGATCTTGTGCCGTTTGGATTCCTGAGATGTAACCTACAGCGTCAGGTTTGCTTTTAACATGCTAGCAGTGTTTGATTTCCTCAGTGGAGTCTTATTGGGACATGAAATTGAAGTCAGCTGTGGGCATGTGCTATTGCCTCTGGAAATGAGTCTAATCTCTCATTCCTCTAATGATCATTCATATCCAAAGCAATTTGAGAAAACACTGAGATACACGCAGAGTTTGCTTGCTCAGAGCTGTGCACGGCACTACATACGACCCCTGCGTCGTCTCTCAGTGTGTCTGCTCCTCCTCCACGCTACAATGACTTAATTTGATCAAAAATGTATTAACAACTCTTCAGTACAGATAGAGATTTTTACATATTGATACAATTACCCCCTTGCTGTGAGCAAGCTTGCAGTGCCGCCCCTCCTCTCACCAGTACCACACTGACTCCATCTTAATGACAATTTTCCTTGGTGTTGCCGTGTGACACCAGAGCGACAGGGCTCTGGCGACAACAGAGACAGAAAACCGCTGTCTGAGACTAAATAACCTGGAGCTCTGCACATTCACTGTCTCTGGAAAAGAATTAGAAATTAAAAGGATCCAGCTATAGAAGGGGATTGGGGGGGGGGACCTTTAACTCGAAATGATTAAAGGATGAATTTGCAATCTTAATTATGTCCAGACAATGTAATACATTTTGTGCAGCAGAGGTGATTTGTGATGAGTTCTTCTGAAGGGGCAATCAGTTTTGACTTAATGGAAAAAATAAATATCAAACGACAACAGCCTTTGATTAATGGTTCTGGTTTACTTTCTTGTTTGTTAATCTGATAAATCTTGGTACCATGTGAATGTGCTGAAGTCGATTGGGCTATAAACTGACCAATGTCCAGCTCTATTGGGACCAGTGTATTCTTTTGACAAACTGTCCAGTGGTTTGAGAGACAGCACATGGCCACTGACAGAACATGGACCCTTTGGCCCTGCAGGATTTGACTACAGTCGGCCTCCACAGTGAAGGGTGGCACTGGTGGAGGTAGAGTGGAACGGCATTAGGGATTGGCATGTGATTGATGCTGGACCTTCAAAATCCATCCATCTATTCATCTATCTGCCTGCCTTGTCATGTCTCTCAGCTTCAGCTCTCGGGAACGGCAAGCTGTCTGAATGTTGACTTGGCCTGGCAAGCTGACAGATTCAGATCTGACTTGATTTAAAGAATTAGTTAACCTTTATGATCTCAAAGCTGTGGACCACTTGGTGTACTGTATGTTAATGTGTGATATACCAGTAGTTTCTGTAAAAGATGCAGGCTACAAAGACAAAAACGGTCAGTTCATTTATGCTGTGTTTCTACATTGCTAATGTACCTGATTGACACGTGTTATCATCTGTGAGTGTGGTAGTACCAAAGATCTTGCTAATTGTTTTGTTTTGCTGTATTTTCTTATCAGAGATTTAATGCAAATTTTGCTGTCATTTGTATACATAATTTGCATAATCTAATTAAGATATATGACATTTCAACATCAATCAATTCATTAAAAACAAGAGATGCTCTTAGACATCCAGTTTCTGTTGCAAAATATCAAAACAAACTATCTCATTACAACCAAAGCCGAGTAATGGCATGCTTTTAAAAGAAATAAAAGTTATTACTGCATTTTCTGCCTGTTGTTTCTTAGGAGCTTTTAAACAATTCTGATGCATTAACATAAAAGCAGGAAAAGGGAGTGCGGGGGCTGTTTTCTTTAGCCAGCAATGTTCCACATTTTTAAACAGAAATCCATTTGTACTCATAACAGACAATTACTCTTGTGAGTTGCATGCTGGAAAAAACTGACCTATCATTTACTAAAGTCAGAGTTAACAACAGGAGTCTCAAACTGCAGGATATTTTCCACATCTATTTAGATTAGTGCTGCGTGTTCCATCACATTCCCTTTGGAGCCACATTTACGGAGGCAAACACAATAGCCCGACCAGGTATGAATAGAAAGACTATCAGTTGAATGGTTGTTAAACATCTCCTCTTTCCTGTTAAGGTAAGTGGCTCACCCCTGGGATATTTGCTGGGAAATTATACTCACTGATCAGATTCTGTGGGGTGTGTTTTGGGAGCTGACTGCACTTGCCTCAGGTTGCTGGTGAACACTAACCCCTTGCCTCATTCCCCTAATTGTGAGTGACAGTCAATATTGTCTTGCACAAGCCTGCGATAGGATTTGCATTGGATTTTGAAGTGGACTGTGAGGCATCGGGAGGGAAGTGGATCTGACGTTGCCAATTAGCGTCAAAGGGAGGAGTATTCTGTGGTGGTGGTAGAATTTGAATGATCTTCTTACAGGAGTCTTAATGTGAAAAAACAATGAGCTGAACTTTTCCTGACCCTCTTGATGAAAGGTTCAGAGGTCAGGCTTGGTCAGAGTGAGGCTGGGCCACCCATGTAGGGCCAGAAGTTTCCTCTGCTTGTTGGAAGCATTTTCATCTCTTTGATTTTTTTATATTTCAGGCAACAAACTAGTCTATAGAGTATATTATCAAAGATTACTTTAATGATATTTTAAGGTAATTGACAGTAGAGAGTGACAGGAAACATGAGATGAGATGGGGATGAAACTAAGTTGAACATAGACTTTGTGTTTACATGGTATACATGTGAGACTACATGAGAGGCTCACAAGAGCACCTCACAAAATGTTATAAACTTTAAAATAGTTTTAAACTATCATTCTCCATCTGTGTTTTAAATAAAATGTGGCACACTGTAAGAGAACAAATGGTACATGATTAGTTTGTGAAGATTGCAGCCCTGTTTTACGGTGAACAATCAATGGGTTGGGTAAATATGAGCTAGTGCGGTGAGTGATAAAGCAAGTGTTAGTGATGAATAGCAGAAATTAAGCTAAGTGCCTTAGTTTTATGTGTTCTCACCCAGAATGTTTCACTACAGTAAAAGAGACACCATGCACAATTCAGCAGACCCCCCCCCCATGTGGTAATCGAGGTAGACTGCATCTACCTCAATTACCACAGAAGAGTAATTAGCCAAAAAACTGTGTGTGCCTGCATCTGCGTTCGGGGAAGTATGCATGCAGCATGAACAGATTAATTAGGACATTTAACTTCATTTCTAATATAACAAAATTAATCCCATAAAATATGAGGGATCTCGGAGGAGGTGCCTGTCAGCATCTGACGCCTCTCCTCTGTTTGCCATAATCTATTAAAACCTTGCTTTTATCTCACCTCTCCCCTGTCATACTTTATGGATTTTTTCATAAACACGGCCCATACTTCATAAATGTCTCAATTTTCTAGTCTATTAACATTACTTCAAAAGCGCTTGATAAAAGAGGAGGGCATGCGTGAAATAATGCACCAATAATATGAAGCGCTGGAGGCTAGAACAGTAGGGGCGGCTCTCTAGCGTGCACACTCAGACAATGCAAGGGATGTTATCAACTTTAATAAAAGAACAAATGATCACTTTCAACCAAGGAGAAGGGGAGATGGCAGGGAGGAAGGGGTGGAGGAGGGGAACGGTTGTCGAGTAATGAGCCGATGAAAAATGAGGTCTTGAAGGCTCAGCGGTTTGAGCAGTCAGGAGACTGAAAGCCACTCAAAACTATGGTGTTCTTCAGTACTTGTAGTTACTTGCTCCTAGTTGCAGCGGAGGATGTTAACACGGATTTGTTTTATTCACTGAAGGCACAAGTAGAATAGTCGGGCTGTTTCCTTTCCTGAATGCTGAATTGTGTGCAATGAGTTGAACCTTTTGTCTGGAGAGTGTCAGTAAGGTTTGATGACAGTCGAGCTTCACCTCACAGCATTTCCCCAGCGAGCATCGATTCAGTTCTTGTCTCTGTACATCACCTGTGTCGGTCTCTGTAGGCTTTACTCATCCTACCCAGACACGAGGTCAGCTGTCTTCACTTGAACTGGACATGCGTGAAACACACTGATCAAACCCAGTAAGACTATACCGCAATGGCCTGTTGGCTGTAGCCCCGAGGCCAGGCCTTACAAACACACAGACACACGTACTCCTGTGTGATCTTTGTGTGGCCTGCCACAAGGTAAACTGGTTCGGTAATTAAAATGAGTCACCAGTAGCTCACTGTAACACTCATAACTGAAAGTACACAGCGTTCAAACTGCATTCAGTGACATGCAAACAGATGAAGATGTATGCAAAGACAGACAAATCGGTAATTGAGCACAGCCATTATCGCAAACCATCAGTAACTAAACATTTGTGTGACAAATGTTGCTCATGTGCAGGTCTGTATACCCACAACGTACATGCATACTTTTCAACACTGTCTCGTATGCAAAAATGGGGACTGCACTCCCCTTACTCTAATCACTCCCCATCCCAAGATGTATGTGTTGACACATGTTTCTAAGTACAGCGCTGGAGCTACTGGATGGGCACTTTTGCTTCTAAATGTGTACACGTGTATGTGAGAGGTCAACCTTTTTAATCTAATGAGAGGGCAGCTTATGGAAGTGTAGACGGCAGCAGAGGTAATTATGTTCCTCCCAACCCCGTGCCACGTGCCCCCTTTCTCCAGCTGTGACCGCATAGAGGCTGACCTGCCATGGATGGCAGTGGTCATTTTCTGGAGTCACTGCATTCTTTGCTACATTATCCCGCGCCGCCGCTGCTGCTGCAGCACCACGTGGGAACAGGCTGGTATCAGCTTGTACCAGGCGAGGACAGGGGAAGGATGGATCTGTCAAAGTGCATCGACTCCAGGCGGCCACGTACGCCGGCGTGTGCCTCTGCCCCGGCCCCTGCCACACTCCCACTCATTAAGGGCCCAGCCCTGACAACTGATCCTAATTGCCTTTGAAGCAGCTCTTCATGTATTATTGGTGCTGACTGCCTTGGTTCATGTCAACAAGCCATGGGATGGCAGGGACAGGGTAGCCACAGCCATTGTCCCTCTTACAACTTGTATACTGAATGATACACATAGACTAGATATGCATGTAAATATAATATACATCATATGTGTATGTGTACACGTAAGTTGAAATGTGCCTCAAGAGACACAGGTATCTGGTGTCTTGTGATTGATCAGCATCCTAATTATACCGGAGTCTTTCACAATTGCAGATTTGCAAATTACTTGACTGCTTTCTGTGTAAAAAGCATTAAGTATTAATTTTGTGGCTACAGTTTGAATAGACAGTACTAGAACATTTAATGGGTTGTAGATGATTGTATGACAATCCGATGTATGAATATGATTTTATTTTATTAAGGGTAGAGTATGTATGTGTGAGCATGTGCTTGTTTGCTTCTCACTTTGTAACTGTTGAAGAGCAGTGGAGGGGTGAATGGTTCAGAGACATCAAGAAGCATCTGAAGAGCATCATGTAAAGATCCCACCATCGCAGATATCTGCCAAGACACTCGCGCTATTACAATTGCAATCACAAACACTCAGTCAAAACACATCATTATTTGTAGTCACATGAATGAATTATTACCCCATATCCCACTATGTATTTCCCATTTTACCCCTCTATTTGAATACGGAAAAAGGAGAGGTGGGATGGCTTGGCTTTTTATTTGTGGAATGAAATAACTGAATACCAAATGCATAGATAAAAAGCATAGCGGCGTGTCCTGTCCACTCCCATCACTGTCTGAGAAAGGAGAGACGTATGACCATCCCATTACTATGGTAACTACCCACTATATTCAGAGCTGCCCGGGTGTTTCTTCCCCCTGCAGTGACGAGAGGGCATAGCTGACAGGGCCTACGCACACACACGCACATACACACAGATAAGGAGGGTCTGGGAGATGCTGCTTGTGAAATATACACATGTGGCAAATACAGACAGAACAATACAGGGGCCAGTTCCAACACATACTAATGTGGTGACATACAGAAACTAATAGGTACCAACATTAGGGAGAAGTCTAACCCCCTACCATTTCAACATTTTACTCATAGCCAAAATCTTTTATCCAAAACAGTGGAATCTAGCAGTAAGATTTTTAATGCTTTTATATTTTTGATTTATAATCTTCAGCCAAAACAAAATGAATAAAATTGTCTAGCATTTGATTAATACAGTGTTTTGCTAGCACATAATAAATGTAGAAACAAAGACAAACCATGATTGATATGTTACCAACAAACACAGGGTTTATAACACTAATTGTCACCAACCCAGACTGAGTGGCTGTTTGAGATGACTTGTTACTGCAGCAGATTCACCTGACTGCTGTACAGCACTGTGCTGTTTTAGGAAGCTGCTATTATAGATGACTTCTATAATTATTATGCTTTAAGTTGGACGTGCCTTTGGTTAGAAACAATTATTACATCCATGTGCAACAGTGTGCTAGCATTGCTATTTTGTCTTTATTTGTTAAGGGATTTTTCTTTTCAGTTCTGCAGATGACTCAGAAAAGAGTTAGCGTTTACATTCCATTTACTTTTGGCCACTTGTTTCATAATAAATTTCACATGGAACAATTTTTCTGAGTAGTAACTTTGAACCTGGGTCATTCATTTTTCAAATGCCGTTGCCATCAAGTACACTTAACTGAGGTAAAAACTGCTGCAAATGAATAATATACAATCTCCTTTTTTTCTGTAGACATATCAGCATGTTCACTTTTAATATATTTTTAT